AGGACTTCACCCAAAGAGAATATTGTATAGGGATATAGATAGGACGTTTGGTTGTCTTAAGCTTGTTTTCTTAATGCGGAATTAATTATTAGGGACTCAAGGAATTGAAGTCTAATAATTAAGACTAGGCTTTTTACGCCGAGGGATCAGGTTCTAAGTAATTTCGTAAGTGACATTAACATTCCAATGAAGAAGATGAATTCTAATATGCATGAAAATGAAGTAGGTGAAATCTAACCCCAACAACATCATCATCTCATATTATCAACTTCATCCATTCATTCTTGTGTCAAGCCTCAATTGATAAATTTGCATTCATGTTTACTTTTGTTGCATTTGCATTTAAACACCAACAAAATAACTTTTAAGTCTTAATTAAGGTATTACACAACTGTTAATTAACATGAGTCTCTTGGGAAACGATATTTGGTCTTACCATTTGATATTACTTGATACGATTTGGTACACTTGAAAATGAGTTAACATAAGTCTAAGTCCTATATTAGATAAAAAATAAAAATGAGAAAGTAGAGCACCATATAAGGCTGAAGATCCATTAACACATTGCCTTAAGATTTTGAGTTGAGATTGGTGTCAATCCCTTACATTATTAGACTCAGGTCTCATTGCCGTTGTATCTCCTTAGTAAACGTCCTCCCTCATTAACGCAACAATTAATCCTAATAATATCATATCTTATTCATTTCTCTATAATTTCTTTAATCTCTTATTGACTTCAACTTTAAAAAATCCATGCAAGTAAATGTGTATGTGTGATACACACAATTGGAGTTTTACTAAGCCAACTTTAAAAAATCCATGCAAGTAAATGTCTATGTGTGATATACACACAAAATTGGAGTTTTACTGCAAAACACATGTTAAAAGGTTTGATATTAACTTAGAGACCAATTCAAAATACTTATTTTGTATTTTTTACCATCAAAACATTTTATTAAGTGGTAATCCACTTTAGATCATTTTAATCTTAACATTGGATCATGGAAACACATAATTTGGTCACTTAAACATTGAGAAAGGAGTTTTCTTGATGTTTATACAACTCAATATATTACACAATAAGTCTTCCTCCTAAAGGTTGTGTTCCTTTTGAGAGATGGATTTGGCAGAGAGAGTGAATGAATTTGAGGGGATTTGAGAGTGAGTTGATTGTTATTTTTTTTTAAGGGATTTAGAGGTGAGTAAGGGTGAATTTGGAAGTAAATTTTGTGAAAATTAGTATATAATTTGACCGATGTGACATATAAAAGAAATTGTTTAGTTGGTAGAAATTGAAGATTATCAAAATATCCTTAATAGTATAAGTAATATAAAATGATAATTAAAAAATAATTTTTAACATGAAAAAGGAATATTATTATTATTATTATCATTATTTATTAACTATTTTGGTTAGTTGATCTTAGCTGAAATTATAATTTTTAGGTGAACATAGAATCAAATAACATATTCCAGGAACTGAATATGCTTTTTGGAATTGAATAAACCACTATATGCAGAATCTTACTGGAATTGAATATGCAAGTAGTGAAATCAAATACACTTCCAATATGTTTCGTTTTGCTTAAATCAAATATATTGTCCCCAAAATTGATTCCACCTACAACTCCACGTTTTAGAACTTCAATTTTTTGAAGTAAATACGAGGGTTATTTGGACATTTCATCCTAAGTCACTGCAAATTTGAGCAAAGTGACAAGATTTCAAATCTCACCCATCTCTCAAATCTTCGTTTTTGTGCACCCTCAAATCACACCAAATGAACACATTAAATCTCGCAATTCCATATTCATGTATCAAGGTGCACAACATCATCTATACAAATGAACAACTTGACACTTTATGTGTTATTATGATCTTTTTGTAGATATATGTCGATGAATTTCTCAATTTTATTGATTAATTATATCCCAAACGTAGAAAGGTTTGTAAATTAAATTATTATAAATAATTATAGTGAAACACCTCGATATAAAAAGCTTAGAATAAATACCAATATACTTCTAATGTGATTTTGTTATAATAACATTTAAGTGGAATTATAAAAGTCAACATAAATGTGATATTAATAACTTATTTTTTGTTATACAAACATTATTACCCGTGACATTTACTTACTACGACAATTCTGAAGATTGAATTTAAGGCATGATGTACACAACATACATTTTTATTTAGAAATTAAACACAAGATCCAATTTAACTAACATTTTACTTCATCCGAAACATTTCTTAAAAACCAAAGTCTCTCTCTATGTATAATGCACATTTCAAAAGAAAAAAAAAACAACCACACAAATAATTGAAATAAAGTGATAGTATATATAATTTTGAAGATCTCCCAATATTAATTTTGTATATAGTTAAAAGTCAATAATTTTTATAATGAATTACTTTAAAGTGAAAGTGACACGTAGAATAACTTACTTTTAATCAAGGACATATAACTCTTTAAACAAAGGCGCGGCAGCAGAAACAACAGAGATTTTGTTTCATAAAACTTGCTCCATCCCACTCTTAATGAATTTGTCATTCGTTTTTTGTTTCAAAATTTTAATTAATGAAACGTTAATTTGGGAAAACGCAAGAGGGCATAAAGGTCATAAAACGGGGTCGTTTTCATGCGTAGAAAAAAAGAAAAAAAAAGTCAAAATTCGAAGGGGCTCCTTTTTTGAATAAAAGAAAGAGTTAATAAAAAGAAGGCGAAGAGGCATTAGTTAATAATAATTGAATTTGAATTTCATTTGTGATTCAAGCATGATACACGATACATGATGATATATTTTTTCACTTCAATCAAACTTTTATGAAACTTTTAATCATTTGTGATGGCTTGAGGATGATATTAAAACAGGTCAATCTTTAAAGGAAGTAGGAAAAAGTTACGAAAGAATTCCATATTTCTACAACAGGATTATGAACATTCGTCCATATTTGACATAAGCTTAATGTGTGGGGAATGGAAAAAATAAGAAAAAGGTGATTAGAATTAGGTTTGGATTAGGGTTAGTGGATGGTGTAGTTTTTTGTAACATAATAAGAAGGCACGTTAAAAAGCATGTGAGGGAGGTGGGGCCAAGACAACCTAGCAAGTTCCAATATCATAATTTAATGTGGGCCCGTGAAGAACAAGAGATTACAGCTGGCGATGTTGTGTTGTGTTGGGTGGAAAGTGAAGTGTGAACCACACGATGCCCTGAACACTGTTCATTAGACACTACCGCACCAAATCTATACCGCTTTAAACAAAAACTGGGGCACTATGTCGGGGCCAACATATTTTACATTTTCAATCTCATCAATCACTCCACCGTAGTAACTTAGCATTCTACATAAATGTTTTTTTTTTTTTTTTTGTACGAACTTTGGCATCAATGCCATGGTACGATGCTTTCTTTCCTATAACTGCAGCCCCTGCTAGAGGTAGCCACTACTGAAATAAGAGTTAAGGCACAAAAACTGGGTATTTTTCTTTATATTTATTTATGAAGGAAATTGATTAATTGTTATTATGGAATGGACCAGGGATTGGATTTCAGCTATATATATATATAGATAATTGGTTGGACGCTGGCTACCTATCAAAACAAAAGTGTCGGTGCCACTTTCTTCTTATTATTCTCTCTCTCTTTTGTTTTATTAAAATATATTTTGCTTTGTTTGTGGATTTTTTATTTTTATTTTTGTTGAGTTGCTTTAAATAAAAATACAAAGGTTCTACACCACAACAAGTAAAGGGTCTTCATTATTATAATTGGACAACTCCATATACAAGTCTACCTGGTTCATTGAAATGTAAAATTGGACACACCACCTACTTTTTAGAGTATCTCAATACTCAATTCAATATATACTACATTAGATCGATTGGTATTACATGTCCATCAAACTCTATTTTATCTCTGTTGACCACCACCAATATAACATGCATCCAAATCAACCCTCCAATGCCTTTCAGCATTTCGCATACGTCATTGTCATTTTTCACCAAATAACTATTCATTTCACCACTCCGATTCCAACTATTCCATATTTTCTTCAGAAAATTAACTAGTATATTACATTTGATACCAAAGCATCGAATACCCATCAGAAAAATATCTTAACGAGATACGGAAATTATACGCACTACATAATTCTATCACCAGCTGCATCAAAACAGTACGGTGGCTCCAGGCATCGGAATAAAACCAGCAGCATAACATAATCGGTTAAAGTTGCCAATATGTACCAAAACGACGATTGCGACTAACTCCTTTTTCTTAACTATTTACGTTCGTGAGAAAGATAAACTTTACCTAAACAAATTGATGTCTAAACCGTGTTCCTTTGACATCTCGATTCTGAAATATGTTTATATTCAATATAAAATTTGATAAATATTTATTTACAAGATGCAATCATGACCATGATAATGACCATAACTGCCTCTATTATCATTATTGTTATAATTGCAGGCCACATGAATAAGAGAATCCTTCTTGCAGGGAAAGTGTGACAGCCAGATTAAAAAAAATTAATCAAAACAAGAACAATACAAGTTTATATCTTTTTTGGCTGGACAAAATTAGGATCACGTTCGCCCAGATGCAAGAGCAACTGTTTTAGCTCTAGCAATTAGAGATTTTTAAGTCCAGAGGTCCAGTATTTTAAGAAAAATTGCATTAGGGACTTCAGCTTCTTTTTTCTTTTCCTTTCTGTAGTAAGACTTGAATCCAAACATGGGGCACAAGTCGCCGAATTCCTTTGCTTTCAAATACGAACACAAAGCACACGTGTTGACTAATACCCACCGTGCCGGTTGATTTATACATAAATTATTAAAAAGAGAGAAGAAAAAATATTGATAAGATTTTAGTGCTTAGATCCATTGTATAGTAAAAGGATTCTGGATGTCTAATCATGTATCGTTTATTTTGTCAAAAACATTGATATTACGAACAAGTTTATTGACTGGAAGAAACATGACAAGCGGAAGAGACAGCTAAGGTTTATCATTGAGTTTAACTAACAGAGCCTTTATAATTATAATTAACAAATATGAAAAATGTTAAATGATTGTAAATGAAATAAACAGTCCAAAACGTCTACATCAATAACTTGAGCGAGTGTCTTTTTCCCTAGTTCAAACGAAAAGCCCACAAATAAGAATAACTGTGTGCAAGTCTCATCTATCCGCTTTCACCTTATAAGCTTTGTAAGATCACTGGAAAAATAGAAGCCACCGACTGGCTTGATTCAAAACATAGATTTGTTGCCACGTAACAGCATCGCAGCCTCTTTTGTTCACCGACTATACCACTAAAATCCCAAGACATAACGGATAGAATACAAACTCATTTTCACAACGTAACGGATATAATACAAATTGTTTTACTTTTATGGACACAAGTGAATTATACGATACCCTGTCCCCTTTCAAGACAAAAAAGTCAAAAACTTTGTGCGATATGACCATGTATCAGAGAAGCTGCATTCAACAGCTCACCTTGCTTTTACCATCTTCAACATCAAAAGCACATGTAAGACACATCTGCTGAAATATATATAAATTGAAACGTTGTCTCTGTTGGGCTTCAATTGTAATTGTACATGCAGTCTTCAGTCTTCATTATGCTAATCACGAGGTAAGCTTCGTGATTGCGTTTAGTTATTATGTTTTCCATACTCGAATGGTGCCATCCACTGAAGAAGTTACCATGCAGTTTTCCTTTGGGTGATAACTAACACTGGTTACCTGACAGGAAATACAGATGCATATATCATTCTCACATCCTTAAATAAGTAGTTAAATGAAAAAAAAAAATTATAGACAAGGCTTTGCTCGTCTATAACTAAAACGACAATTATATTATGAAACCAAAATCCTATCTGCCCCAGTAGTAACAGGCAGATATTTTTGAAACAAAATGAATCTCATCCCACAGCATAAGGCAATGATGGCATTATCATCAATCAGACTTGAAACTGACGATGATAATAAAATATAGCATAATTTGCATTATTCAAAGCAATAATAAAGTTCCTGTAAATATAATCAGCGGAAAACCTAAGTATTATTAAGAAACTGCTACAGAAGTTCCGAGAGAGAGAAAGTTTGTTTAGAACAAAGTTACTATAATGTTTTGAAAAAAAGTGAGGAATCACTTAAATCATACTGAACTAGCGTGATAAGTCATATATGGTTTGCATGAAAACCCATTTATCAGACAACATTTTTTAAAGGGTCTCAAGCCAACAGTTTTCCTTGGTTGTGGCTAAAGGAGAAATTGAAAATTTGAAGCATCCATAATCATGAATCCTTTCAAATTGGGAATGAAGAAAGGGTCTAGAATGTTCTTTTAGTATCATACTTTTACAGCTTTCTTCCAGAAACAGTAAACTAGTGAGAAGAAATTACCACTGAGGTATGGGCCCTGAATCTTGAAACAACAGATGCCTCTACGAGATCCCAGAAATAAATGAAGCCATCCTCAGACCCACCAGTTATATGAGCATCGGTATTGGTAAGGCAGCAATCCAATTTGTACGACTGAGTGTAGGTCAATAGAAATTATAAAAATTTCGAAGAAATGAACAGTAAAAACATTAGAAATACACTTAAGAGTGAACAATTACAGTAACCAACTAATAACAAAAAAATGAAAATGCAGATATATGGACCTGGTATCAACCTGTATCGTTAAAACATGCCATGCAGAACATTAGAAAATAGGAAATGATAAAATCAGGTTTAGGCATCTGCAGACTAACCTTATTAGTGTGTCCTTTATATTCTTGTAACAATTCACCAGTGGACCTGTCACAAAAAAGTACTATGAAGCTTGCAAGAATAGAGACCAATAGTGACTTACCAAAATGTAACAAACATACCTGTCCAAAAGACGCAAAGTAGAGTCTAAACTACCTGCTAGAATGCAGTTACCATCATTTGACATTGATACACAGTTGACGGGTTGCCCCAAGTTATCGGAAATTTCTCTGGTAGGTAGAAGAAAAGAGAACGTCAGTAGAATTTCATAGTGCAAATAAATTTTACGGCAGCAACAAACGTGTCCAACGGCAGTGTATTGCTTATCTCATATATTTTATGTTAAAAAAGAATAAATAATGATCTGGAAGTTATGCTGCAAGAAACCTGCCAATTCGAATGTCAAATGTCCGAACAGTTCCATCAACACTTCCTCCAATAATTTCAGTTTTCGTTAAACAAATAGACATAACACTATCTGCAAATGTGTCAATAATCTGCATATCAATGGTGCTATTAATAAGCCAGTAGAAAGAAATAGAGCACAATGCATGTAAGTCGAAAGAATCACACGGAATCCACCTGAATCGGCTCGGTGCTGTGGGATCTGCAGTCCCAAGCACGCAACGATTGATCATAGCCTGCTGAGACTACAACAGATGAATACTCATTGAATTTGACGCCATTTACCTGCAGATAAAATATGAATAACAAAATAAGGTTCAGTCAATATATATCACAATAACAACCATCAATAACTCCAAACCATTTTAACTCTCAGTGATAATAATTTTTTATTTCCATATTAATTTTATCACTACGAAAATTAAAAATGGATGGAGCTTTCCGAGAAAATAAACTTTAATTACGGTGGTTATTTTGTTCAAGGTGTTGACATAGGTCCGAACCGGTGCCCACATTTAGACCATGTGTAGATAAACTTTTGAACCGAAACTAGCAGAAGAAAAAAAAGAAGGAAAAATGAAAATAATTCACTCCCGTAAGCTGAAAGTAACTCATAAAGTTAAAAACTTGTGGAGAAACTAATAAAACAAAGCTTCTACAAATAAATTAAGTAATTCTAACTTATGCAAAAGGTTTATTTTACTCTCCAATGTACATATGAAGAAATTTATCCAATCAGAACCTAGTGTTATGTGTTAGAGTAAAAGACAGAGACGACATTCAAGCAATCAATAGCATAAGAGAAAGATTACAACGAACTAAAGATAAATTGTGGAAAAATGAACATGTCATTACAGAAGGAACGGAATGATACCTACCTCACCATCATGACCACGAAATTTCCTAATTACACGTCCAGTTGCAACATCCCAATAAAATATTTGTCGATCACCACCACAGGAACATAACTTGGAATTGTCCCTACAGTAACAACATGTAAATAATGTATTGTGAACTGGCGTTGAATGCAGTCACATCTCATGACAGTTCAAAGTTCACATTACGAAACCCTACAAATTGAAAGGTGTTTGAATTTTGAATATGCACACATTTCAAATTCAGTAAGAAATCAAATGACATTCTGAATATACAGATATGATAACTGAAGAAATGCAATTGAGAGAGAGAGAGAGAGGGTACGGTGTGACGTGGACATCGCGAACTTCACGGCCGTGGGATTTATAGGTCTTGATATGGATTCCACGGTGAGGATTCCAGAGGCGTATGGTACGGTCTTTTCCGCAACTCAGACAATAATTGCCGTCACCGTTGAACCTCGCGGCCAACACGGCACCCTCGTGACCTTTCAGCACGTTAACCTCTTTCTGCGGAAGATCTTCCACGCTCATCTCTTCTTCTTCGCTTCTCGGGACTGAACCCCCTTCTTCACCACCACCCTGCGTTACTTTAGTCTCACTTTACTCTGAACCTCAGCCCAATCTGAAAGCCCGTTTCTGTTTAGAGCGACTGGGCCAGCTTTTAAACGGACTAGGCCCAATATTTAAAGATAAGAGCAGTCTTTTGTAGGCTTTCACTTCCTGTACCCCTACAATTTCTTCACGCACCCCATCAAATGTTCAAAATAACAATTTTGCTTCTCATAAAACTGGCTTTCGGAATATATGTTCTGAAAATCTTTTAAAACAAGTTTTTTTTTTAAAAAAAAATTAAATAAAATTTTCGAAATAATTTTATTTTTACGCTTAATAGTTTCATATTACCTAAAAATTAAAATGACGTTTAGACTACGTTATGATGAAGATAAAAGGAATTATAATCATAAAAAAACTTAAATTAATAGTAATTTAATTACTTTTGGAATTTGTAACCGTTAATAAAAGTGAATTTATGGGGGATATAGTTTATCTACATATTCCACTGCATTCAGTGTGCAGTGCAGTTACAATTGTAGAAAGACCCTTTGTTTTCTCGAATTAACCGTTGGAAGGGCTTAATTAAAGCAATAGGTTCTATAAATAAAGAAAATGGTTCGAGAAGAAGGGAAGTGACAGAAGGCTGAACTTGATATATCTGATGGCTCTGAAATATGGAATGGTGTTGTTGATAGTCCTTGCATGCTTTGATGCACATGGAACAGCAACCAGGGACAACAACATGGTGAAGTGCTGGAGCAACCTCGTTGAGCTAAAATCATGTTCCAATGAGATCATGCATTTCTTCATCAATGGTGAAGCTGATATTGGCCCCAACTGTTGCTGTGCCATTACTGCCATAACCCACAATTGCTGGCCCTCCATGCTCACTTCATTGGGCTACACTTACCAGGAAGCTCTTCAGATTCTTGCCTACTGTGAGGATGCTGCTCCACCTCCAGCTTTGTCTCCTTCTCATCCAATCTTCTATTAAATAACTATATATCAATCTTCACTACAACCCTTTTCTGTATCTATGGAATAAATTCACCTTCTTCCTCCAATTTCACACGTATAATTATGTCAGCTTATATTCCATGGTTACTGGAATAAATAAACATGTTCTTCTACGATTTTTGTTATGTTTATCGTAGTTTTTATTAAAAAAATTCTCCTTGCTTTACTGTGTAGTTTATATAATGGTGGATGTTTCATTTTGTAAGAAAGAAAGAGGAAAGAAAATGAATGAAAAGTGAAGTAACAGTAGAAGTGTTAGATTTAAGATAAATAGGTAAATTAAAGGAGTATGATTTTGAAGTGATGTGCATGGAAGAAAATTCTAATATCACCAAATGACATCAATAATTTCAATCTAATATCACACTGGCCATTCATACACATCTAACCTAGAATTCAACAACCAAATACATCATAATCACACTTATTCTAATGAAAGAGTTATTAAATAACTAAAATATATTTAGAATAATTATTTTTCTGTTGATATCAACTATATTTTTTATTTATGTCGAAATGAATTATTTTTATTCAAATTGTTATGATTATTTGTTAATGTTGTTTTTATAAACTAGTATTATTTCTCATTCTACGAGTTTCATCAACTAATGTGAAAATCTTAATTGTTGATCGGAAAATTTGTCGGTCAACATTAGCTTAGATTTTTTTTAATACCAATTGAGAGAATTTTTCAGCTAATATTGATCATGAAAACGGCATATAAACTTATCATCGTAAATATTAATGAACTTTGACAAGAAAGATTAACTAAAAAAATTATTTATATTGATATATTAAAATTATTTGCAACGAAATCATATTTAAATATATTTTTTGAGTTTCTGACAATTGAAATATTTTATTCCATCTAAAAGATTAAATTCTAGTAAATTTGCAATGGTCTAATCTAAGCAAACTCAATACTTTTTTAAGAAAATAAAACTAATAATGATAGATTCATAAAGAGTGGTATATAGTTTGTACTTATTATTCTTTTGAAATACAAGTAAAGATAAAATATGTACACCAATATTGAATGACTTTATATACTGTTACTAATTATATATATATATATATATATATATATATATATATATATATATATATTAGTTAAGAAACTGAGACTAATATTATAAAATTATAAAACCTCGAGTGGCCAATTTTAATTTTTTTTTTTCCAAAAGTGAAACTCGTAGTCTGCTGTTGATAAAGATAATAAAGGAACATAATATAAATTGGAAACCCCAAAAAGGTAATATTATTGAAGAGAGGATGTTCTGGAACAAGGCCAATCTTAACTATTCTTAAGATACCAAAGCCAATGTTAATTATTCTTAAGATACCGAGACAAATCTAAGGTGCCAGACATGTAAGGTGACACGCTTGCGCATGTTCTTCTACAAACTTGAGAAAGAGTTGGCCACATCAATCACAAAGCGATATTTCACATCACCTTTTCCAAGCCTTTCCATGGCAGTGTTGATTTGGTCCATCTTAATCAGCTCGATATTTGCAGTTATGTTGTGCTTTCCGCAGAAATCAAGCATTTCCTGGGTTTCCTTGATCCCTCCAAAGTTGCTCCCCCCTACAAGCTTCCTTCCTACATGCATATGTTACATAACAAAACATTTCTTTCATTAGTCAAATCCATGTACTATTGTTTACTGCGAAAGGTGGCCCTGCTCAAAATTTGGAAAATGTTGACTCTACAATGAATTAAAAAACTCCCTCTTCCATTCAGCATCTTGAGAAAGATTTACAGTCCAAGTATCTTTGACTCTACGCTACTGTGAGGTATATAACTTGTGCCTAATAACATACAAAAACTACATAATACTAGTTTGGAGACGATTGATGGCTCACCTGCGGCTATTTGGAAGATAGGCACCTCAAGAGGCTTGTTAGGCAACCCTACAGTAACTAGCTTCCCATTCAGCTTCAGCAGACCAAGCAGTGGACTCAGCGAATGAACAGCAGAAATTGTGTCTATGATATAGTCCATGGTTCCCATAGCAGCCTGTATAGAGTCCCGGCAAGTTAACAAATACGTCATGAGAAATTGCATGACCAGTCAATCCATTGTTCTACTAATGATTATTATCATGGAGAAGCAGATTAAAAGGTTCGTTATTATATTCTAAAGTGCTTGGATAGTGCGTAACCCACTAACTTGATCAGCAGAGGAGGTGAGGTTTACTCGTCACTTCATGGCTAATATTGACAACAGCTGCAAAGTCGCTCAGAATATTTGTTGTACTCAAACATACTTTATTTTCAATCAATAGGGTAATGATGGTCTCATATCACTCAATTCCACACTTTTTTTACCTCTCTAGGTTAGTTAGCTTTAGATCTTGCAAGTAACTACTATTTGATAAATAACTTTTGAATATGGCAATTATTATAACCTAATTTTTAAACATAACTAAAAAACTATCATTACAAATGAGAAAAATATATCAACGCATCAAGCATATATTAGTCGCTACCCGAGACGCCCAACAGTAGCATAAGAATATCGTTATCATTGCTAGATTACTTAGGAACTGTATTATTCCTTTGAATGCTTTTCAGTCCTGTATCTCAGTTACCTTCATTTTTGCAGGGTCTGAGGAAAGAACGAAAGAATCAGCCCCGAGTGTGTCAACTGCCTCAGCTTCCTTGTTTGGAGATCCACTAATGACAGTAACTTTCAGCCCAAAGGCCTTACCAATTTTGACTGCAACATGGCCTAACCCACCCAGCCCTGCCACTCCCAGATGTTTGCCAGGCTCTGTCATCCCATAATATTTCATAGGGCTATACACAGTTATCCCCGCACACAGCAGTGGAGCACCAGCATCAAGGGGTAAGTTGTCAGGAAATCGAAGCACATAACGCTGGTTGACAACCACAATGTTAGAATAACCACCTTGGGTTCGTGTCCCATCATAATAAGGAGAATTATACGTATACACAGGGCGGGGGCAGTAATTCTCTAAATCCTGTTGGCAACATTCACATTCCTTGCAAGACTCCACCATAACACCAACTCCCACTTTATCACCCGCTTTAAAGTATTTCACATTATTTCCAACTTTTGTCACAACACCAACAATTTCATGCCTGAAAATAAAAAAATACTAAAACGTCAATGCAAGGTGATCTCAGACGTTCTGATTTTACCTTCAAAAGAAAGTATTGCTATCTGCAAGGGTTGGCAATTGCACAAACACGTGCAAGCCTTAAATACTACGTACAACTCACGAAGAGAAACCTAGAAAGGAATAAAGACAATTAATTTACTTAGATATATATGACAAAAGAACATTACATCATCAAAACCAAAAACTGCATTAGTCAGTTTGATTCTCTTCTCAGTCTGATTTTAAAATCTGTTTTCTAAAGCAATTTCACAGCGATCAGCAAGCAATTTCTCATTCAAAAAACATTTGTTTTTAAAATTATTTCCAAAAGTCAGAAAAGGCAAATAAACAATTAGAAGATATATTTCATCTTCTTCACTCTCCATCTTATCCAACCTTCTTTCAACATCACAAGCTGCTCAAAAACCTTATGTAATCTTCGTCCCATTTTGAAATCGGAAAAGTTTTTGTAATTAGAAATAGAAATCAAACACACCCTTAAATTTTAGCAATCATTCATGTTATGTTAGGATTTAAGCAGGATAGCTCAATAATTGGGAGAATTTATAGATTCAAGTATAATATAAAGAATTTATTGGACTTCTAACCATTGTTGCTTGCATAGTTTCCAACATGGTCAAGTTAATATGTACACTGATCACACCAAAATTATGTAACACACGTCCGATGTAAAATGAGATAAATATAATATACAGCCCATGTGAGGTGATGTAAAACAAAACGCGCGTTTTGGATGAGGAGCTTATTTTACTAAAGGTTTGGTTTTTCCTATTATTAAGTCAACCGACAATTGAGATCGAAATTTCAGGCCCCAACTGTGCTCGATTGAAGGATGGAAAACAGCGTTGTTTTTATTTTAAGTGTCCCACCAAATTCAAACTCAATAATGA